AGAACCTTTCGGCCTTTTAATAATAATTCCACAAAAAGATATCTTCCTTCAGAATCAGCCTCAATTAGTTTAGCTGAAAAAGTTTTCTTCACATAAATTACCACTCCCCCTTTTTTCCCAGGGGCTGGAGCAGTAAAATGTGTGCCCAGACGGGAATTCATCAAAAATTTAGAATCCTTTAAAGTTATATGAGTCTCATGCAAACATATCAAATCATTATTATGTTGTTTCAAATAATGGAAAATCTTTCTTCGTTTCTGTGGCACGTTTAAGCCATTAACATTCCAGGTCAGGAACCTGACCATCTCCACCGGCCTGGAGCCTCTGGAGCATGGCCTGCAGATCTGCTGTTGAAGATCTTTTTGGTCTTGCCCCTCCCACAGGCTCTGTAACAACCAAACTTTCACCACTCTTCTGCAACTGCTCTTTTTCTGTACGTTTATGGGCAGCTCGTGTCATCCTTTGCTCTTTTATGTCAGAATTCGGTGCAGCTTGTTCCATAACCATCATTGATGAGGCTCCTGCCATAAGAGACTCTTCCGTCATCCTTATTTGTGAGGTGGTGACAATCTTGCTTTTAAGATAGACTGATAAAAATCTCTTGCTTTGGAAACAGTAGTTAATCTGTGACGTATCCCTTCATAATTTACTATTATTCCTCTTGGAATCTCCCATCTGAACTGAATTTGACGATGTTTCAGCTCATCAGACAAGAAAGTAAAATCTTTTCTGGCTCTTAAAATTTTTGGAGGTATCTCTTTTAAAATTATCACATCTTGATCAGCAATTTGAAACTTTTGTTTGTAAAAAGCCTGTATAATTTCATTACGGATAGATCTTATAGAAAAATAAATAACCACATCTCTTGGTAGATTTCTCTGTCTAGCAACCCGTGAATTAACTCTAAAAAAATTTTCTATCTCATTCTCAATTATTTCAGGCCGCCAGCCAATATTAGGAGCAATATCTTTCACAATAAGCATCTTTAAGTCTTCCTGAGGGTTCTCCCTCAGGCCCCTGATATGCAATGCATGTTCCATCTCCCTATATTGTGAAATGATTTGTTCATCCTGTGTAATTTCTATCTTGTTCTCTACCTCCTGCATTCTAAATTCCATCCTTGATGCATTTTCAGTAATCTTTTCCATCTGGTTATCAATCCTCTCTATGTGCAGGGCTAAGCCCTGAAAGGCCAGAAGGATATGGTCTCTTACTTGTTTGTTCTTTTTCTCCAATAATTCTTCTGTATTAGCCCTCTCTGCAATTATAAGATCTTTTACCTCCTCCTTAATATCCAAGGCATGCTGTTTTAAAGCATCTTGTAAATCATTAAGAGAAATTGCAGGAGGAGGAGGAGAAGGTGGAGGTGATTTTGGTTTCTGAGATGCAGGCTGAGGCATTGGAGAAGAAATAGGAACCTTAGGGGCGGGAGGCAGACGTTTTGAAGCCATTTTCTTAAGTTCCAAGAAGAAAGATTCTTATTGAAAAAAAAAGAGAAAAAGAGAAAAAAAGGGCACAGTTCTTTTAAGTATTCTTAGAAAAAAAAAATAGAGAAAAAAAAGGAGGAAAGAATAAAAGCCAAATTCTTACTTCTGTATTTAAAGAGTTAATCTGTATCCAGGTTTTACTTTGTAATGCAAATCAGGCAAGAAAGACGACGCCATTTTACTTTTCACTTTCCCTTTCTTCTAAAGGGAAAGTGAACAAAAGAAGAGGAAGAGGAAACTTGCTGAAGTTAAAGGCACCATCAAACTTGAGCACAGTCTCTCCTGGTCTGCTCCATCTGCTTTCAAATACTCACAAGCAGCTGGAAAAAAAAAGCAGATGTGGAAGCGGCAACTTGCTTCATCCCAAAAACTTCGGAATGAAGTCTCCCTGGAACGCGGAGTTGCTCAGGCTCCGAGGGAGCTCTACCCTCCGATCCCAAAATAACAGGAATCCAGGGGAGCTCTTACCTCTACCTGAGAGCTCTCCTCCTCCCTTTTTCCCAGGGAGGAGATTCAAGCCGCGGGACAGCTGATTGTCAAAGTCCCGCGGCTTTTATACGCACCAGGAACGGGCGGCTTTGTAAAACGCCGCCATTCGTCGTCACTGGAACCACCAGAAGTCCAACAGTAAAAATTCTTGATAAGGATACAAATTACAGTGATCAATGTCAGTTTAGGATTATGCAGGGTTTGGAGAATTATTCTTGTTTTTTTTGTTGTTGTTATTATCCTTTTTTATTTGAATAAGTAAGTTCAGTGCCATCCAGACCTCTTCTTAAATTTCCTTTTAAACTCTTCGTGAGTTTCCATGAGGGACTGGGAACAGAAGACCAAGATCATTTCTGATCTACTCACCCTACTTGCATAGTTCTACAGTTCTTTGGACTCTAGTCTGCGTGTGGAATTTTCCACAGCCATCTGTTCCCTATCCCACAACTATGAAGGACATAGATGAATTACAATATCAAATGCTGTTCGCTATGCAATATTCAATCTGTTACCATCCACATATACCTCCCCTTGTACTGACAGCTGCTGCCCTCATACTTAGACCATGGAGTATACTTATTCCACATGTCACCAAACTAGATTGATTGACAAAAAAGCATTTATAGTGCTGAATCTCAGCCACAAAATTAACGCTCATGATTTGCTGATATAAAGGAATTGAGGTATTCAAAATATTCTACCATGGGTCATTTCACCTCTCAATAGAAGTGTATATTAGTTCAGGGTTGAACTGTGGAGTCCTTGGTCCTCTCTGAGCTTGGCTGTTTGCTTGCAGATGTTTCATTACTTGACATGGTAACATTATCAGTACTAGTGAGTGTTAGATTTTACCCCTGTTTATATATAGTAGCTTGTCCTTACAGTATTGGTCAGGATGTGGTTTTCCCCTTAATAATTCCTTTGTTAGAGTATTGCTATCTGCTTGATTCTTTGTCTCCTGTTATACCTCCTGCTTATCTGGACATTTGTGCTGGAATAATATAATTGCTGTGAGTAAGTGAGCTATCTGTGATGCAGGGTGGGTGGGGAAGTAGAGAAGCGTGTGTGGAACCTGTTGGGTTACAAAGCAGGCCCAGTGCTTTTGGTGACCTGGTAGGGCAGGATGGGGCAATAGGCGGGGAGGCATGCTTCAGTGTCTCTGTGGTCAGTTGTAACAGTGAACAACCACAGAGGTGCTGTAACAGATGTAACTTCAGGACAGGATCATAAGTACCTTTGGGAAGTCTGTTATAATTTTGGATCATCACTAAGTGGCCTGTTGTAACTCAAGAACTACCTGTATTAGAACATGAGAATGTAATCACAAACCTATCAACTCTTTAGATAGCAAGCATCAATCATATAATATCCTGGTGCCAAGTCCGTAGTTTATCATGTGTTTACCTAGCATACCATTTCTTGTTTGGGCAAGCATTAGGCTTTGCAGGGTGATGAGAAAAGCTCATTGCAGGGATATTAATAGTCTTTTGATCATTGTACTCCTTTATCTGGATTATCTTCTACATTAAGGATTCCCTCTGAGTCATTGTACTCTCCCAAATGCTTATACTTCCCCTTGGCAAATTGATTCCTTCTCAAGGTTGCTTGTATGTTTTATGATTTCACCAATGTGGTTTGGTATAAACAAAACCATTTTAAAAATGATTTTAAATGAATGTGTACATAATACCAAACTATTAATTAGTTGAATTGTACTATTGAAATATGTCTATCCTCATTTTAAAGAGCATTTTTCAAAAGTTGATTACAATAAAAAAAATAAGTACAATACTGTACAATGATATACAATAAAGGAGAACAGAAATCAAAAGTTATTTAACCAAGTATGTCTGACAGTAGTGAGTGGGACAAATCTTTTGTTAAACTAATGCTTATTAATATTTCATAACTATTAATAAAACTAAATGGCATCAAAGCTTTTCATTTTGGAAAGTAGACACTCTTCCCTTAGACATCTAATTGTTTGCAACAACATTGGTGATTGAACGTATGCAGAGAACCTGTATCCTACTGAAAAATGCAGTATTCTGTGACGTCTGGTAGAAAATGGCTGATTGACAATACCCAAGCAAAAAACTTTGGGGTTGGTTTTTCCAGCTGAGGGTTTGGGCAGTACCCCCAAGTCTGAAAAATTTTTCCAAGACAGAGAGAGTCCCAGAAATTACCCTCCAAGACCATCCAGACAGTGATGATTTGCAAGAGGATTCTGGAGAGGTGCTCCAGAGTTTACTGGTGAATCATTAGCTGTCAGATACCACTGAAAGTTTAATTAAATTGATTTATTGTAAACAGCCTGTAAACAGGAATCTTCTCAACTAATGGTTAGCACCTGTTTGAAATTAGATCAGGGTCCATGGAATTCAAGAAGAGTTGGTCTTAGTCCTTCTATGACTACACAGGGATTCTAGGCTGATCCCTCTTTTAATTCAGCCCCCAGGTTCTGCCATTCCTTCTAAGTTAGCGAGAGGCAGAGATAGCAGCCCGATGACAGTGGAAAAACAGCCATTGTTTAAAACTCTTTTTTCAAATGGACAATAAGTCATGCTTTCTATTTCTTAAACACTTTATTTTAACTATTTTTCTTTACTGATTTTAAAAATACTCTTTCGGTCAAAATGTGTTACTCTTCTGAAGAATTGTGGTCTTTTAGAAACATTGTTAGTACTACTAAATAACGAGGGGAAGTGCCATGGTGAGTTAAAATAAGAAAGCTTGGAATTTTTTGTTTCCTTACCCTGTTTTTGAGAAACATAAGGACTTAAAATTTGGCGGCATAATTTAGCCTTTTTTCTGCCATGCTCATTTGATAATGGAATTTATAAGTCATGACTCTGAGGTTCTTGTGGGAGAGTGAAGTCTTCAGATTTTAACTGAACCTGATTTGCTAAGATACAACTTCAGACGTGCATGTTATTTAAAAGATTTGTTCTTTGCCCACAAGAGGGAGTCAAAGATCACAAAATAGGGAAAAACCACCTCTGACTTTATTAAATTTTAGGACAAACAAGATGAACATCAAACCAGAACAGCCCAGAGGAGGGAGCTAAGCCAACTGGATCTCATGAGAATCATTTTGTAGGAATGCTCAAACAAAATAATTCAAGCAATCCAAGCAATCAGAATAAAGAGTGTTATGCTAGAGATACAACCAAGTGCAGAAACTTATCAAACCACTGGAAATGTTCCACAATGACAGAAATCAGTGACAAAGTTAAATTTTTTTGAAATATTGAATGGATAGTAACAGTGTTCATTATGAGGGTGATATAAACAAAATTGTTCTAATGAAATTAAAAAAAGAAGAACTGCTGATAAAACCTCAAGCCATAGAAGAAAAATTTCTGGATCTTCATTTCAAAATTGCATTAAAGATTGACCACATGGATCCAACTGTCCTGAAAGAAATATCTGAAGATTTTGAGAAAAAGAAATGTTTCTGCTGTTCAACAGATATTCTGAAGAAGAGAAAGATTTTATTTTGCTGTGACAAGTTGGAGGGGGTGAGTTGACATGAAAGGACGTTCGGAGTCAGAAAAATGGATTTTGTACTGTCTTAATATAATATAACGTTGAAAGAAACCCTTTATAAAAAGTTAACTTAAAAATAACTAATTTTAAGGATGGTAATCTTTAAGAAATACTCTGAACTTTTAAAATGAATATAAAATTGAAACTAGACATGTTTCTGTTAGGTTGTTGTCAAAGAGCTTGAAACAAAACTTGGGTTATTGTTATCATACATGCTGATAGTGCTGAAAATTCAGTATGTGCAGATGGAAAGATATATAATGAATTTGTTGGAAATGGCAAAGCTAACTGTTTTAAACAAAGATAAGTTTTGTTTCCATTTAGAAAGTTTTATTCAGTTTTGTTTCCATTTAGAAATCATTTCTGGATTTCATGCTTGAAATAGAATAAAAAATGAAACTCTGACTTTAGTTTAAGGATTGGATAATTTTGTAGTTATGGAAATGGCTCGAAGTTATTAGAAATCTAATGTAAAAAAAGTGAAGTAACTATGTTTAATATTTTACTGCATAGAGTATAGTCAGAAATCACTTTCTTCTCCAGCATGACGAGTGGAGAATCCACCCATGGGTTAGCTTCATGAACCCTCCTTTCCTCTTTTTCTGATTGTTATTTTCATTTGTAATTTATATTATAATAAACTTTAATAAAAATTCTTGGAAAAAATGAAACATGCAGCATGCAACCTAATGCTTTACAGGTTAGGCTTACATTTTTAGACAAACTCAGTGTCAGCTTGAATAGATTACAAGGAATTTGTGGACCAGAATTTCTGGAGGAAATCAAGTTTTCTGCCCTTGTTTAAACTATTGTTTCTGGCTTTACTTTTCAAAGTTTGTCCTGAATTCCCTTTATTGCAAATGTTTTAGAATCATTTTTGTTGCAAGTAAGGTATTTTCCTAAATTAAATAATTTTGAATCTTTATATGTGTAATTTCATCCTAATACTCAGCAATACATTGTCTCTCAACCATACAGTCTAATTGCATTTACTTAATTACAACATAAGGTAGACTTGTAATTAATCTCTGACCTAGACTCCTCCGACCAAAAAAGGGAATATTTTATTTCTCCAGCAGGATGACTGTAGAGTCCAAATGGATGGGTTCTATGACGGCCTTCCTGCCTGGCAGACTGGGTAAAAACTTCGGCCACACCCCTTCCTTTGGGCGTGACCCCAGTTTTGACTCAGTCTCGAAGCCTGGTAGAAGTGCGAGAAGCAGCTCTCAGAACAAAACTAACTTAACTTAAAAAAAAAAAAAAAAAAAAAAAGGGAATCCCCTCTTCCTCCAGTTGAACGAAAATTTGTCTGGCAGCGGATAGGACTCGAGAGAGGCAGCCGGGATCGGCGGATTCGTGAGTGGGGCGTCAGGGACTAACGGGAGGCTTGGAGCCGGACCGGATCGCTCGCCCGCCGATAACCGGCCCACCGAGCAGCTGTTGGGGCGGGGGTTTCACTACCGGATTGCTCGCCGCTCTCCGGGGCCGCCAAACAGCTGAGCGGTTCGGGCGATAGAACGAGGCGCCGCTCAGCGCCAAACAGCTGAGCCGCGCGGAAAGCGTGATTGGGGCCGATAGAACGAGGCGCCGCTCAGCGCGAAACAGCTGAGCCGCGCGGAAAGCGGCTAAACCGCGGCGCCGCTCGGCATAGACCAGCGGAGCGGCGCGAGAGGCAGAACCAGCGCTAGAAGTGCCTTCTCCTTAGAGGAGAGGCGCGGTCCCTCAGAGTCAAAGATCCGCCATTGTTTGAACCTCGTGGATTCCCGGGCTAACATTAGGAGGCGTGGTTTCTTCCCCATTCGCCATTTTGAGCGAACGGACCTTCCCGCCGTTTTCCCTTGGGGGCGGGGCCATCCGGACTCCATTCCCTTGCAGACAAAGGGGCAGCCCTTAAGCTAAAATCCGGGATTATCGCAAGAAACTGAGACAGGAGGAAGGAAGAAGGAAAAGGAAGAGAACCTTTCTGATCGTGGTCTGCTACCACAGCCACAGACAGGGGGAGAGAGAGGTATAAACTGCACTTTCTCTGGACTAAGTGAGGAGGTGAGGAGGAGTATTTTTCTCTGACTGTTCCTATAGTGACCTTTAGTCACTGCCTTGCAGGATCTTCTGTCCAAAGACTCCTGTCTGTCCGGCCATTGTTTGTATAGGCAGAGGAGGGCTCAGCCCCAAACATCTGCATCTGATCTGCGTATCCTGTCCCCCACTCCAGGCACTACCTACTCGGGGTGTCTGGCACAATGGCAGACAATGTCTCGTATTCAGTCACACAGGTCCCTCAATTGTCCCCCCCACAGCAACAACAAAAACGCAGATCTTCTGAATCTGAGGTGGGGGGGAAGAAGAAAGCTAAAACAAAACACCTTTCTCAGAAGGGACAGTCTAAAACGGCTGAGCGAGAGGCTTTGAGGAGACATTTGGCTTTAGAAAGACAAATTAGCAGGGCACAGAGAACCAATGCCAATGGGACAAATTCGGTTTCCCCTGTCCCAGCGGTGGCACCCAGCACAGACCCTACTGCCGAGGAAGTGCTTAAGACTTGGTCTCCTCCTGGGGAAACTGAACAGTTAGACTCCTCCAACCCCTCCTCACCAGCTTCTTCACCCGACCGCACCCCAGCGCCTCACTCTAACGACAAAGCGCAGGAGGGCATTTGGTCGGCACAATTCCATGCATTCATGCAGGATGCATTCTCCCAGTTCATGGCTTCTAAGGGACAAGTGGCCTTTCACACACCCCGTAAGGGTCGGGCTAGGCCACCCCCTACCAGCACCTCTGAAACTTCCTCTCAACTGGGAGAGGGTGACTCAGTGGACCTCGACATGTCAGACATGCCCCTCTCGGAGGACGAGGAGACGGCACCTGAGCAGGCAACGAGCTCTGGACTCTTTAACCCAGCGCTCCTAAAATCACTCCTGGTAAAGGCTGTTTCCACAGTCAACCTAACATCAGTACAGGATGAGAAGCCCTCAACAAGCAAGGAGGCCAATCCTCTGTTTGCCAAAAAGGTTCCACAAGATAAGTACATCCCATGTGCGGAGGTCTTCATGACCACGCTGGAGGAACAATGGTCCTCACTTGCAAGCCCACCGGCACCAAACAGCGCGGAAAGAAAGCTTTTCAACCTATCTCCCTCCTTCTCTAACATGTTAGAGGTTCCCACTGTCGATAACCCATTAATCTCATTATTTTCTACCTCCGCGATTCCAGGAGACATGGCGGAGGTCTTGAGGCCTGAGGAGAAGAAATTTGAACACTCACTCCGGCGTTCCCATATGGCTGCAGCCTGGGCGGCCAGAGCAGCCACTTCCTCATCTTTCTTCGCGAGGGCCAGCATCATGTGGCTGAGGGAACTGCAAGGCACGGTGCCTCCAGACCAGGTCAGAATACACCAAACATTGGCCAAGCTCCTCGCGTCCTCGCAATTTGTCTCAGACGCTTCACTGTACGCAACAAAGTATGCGGCTAGATCCATTGCGGCCACAGTGGCCTCACGTAGGCTACTATGGCTCAAAAAATGGAAGACAGACCTGAGGTCCAAATGGCGTCTTTCGACGTCCAAATACAGTGGAGTAGACCTATTTGGTTCCATTCTGGACCCACATGTCAGCGAAGGCAGAGACAAGAAAAAAATCCTAGTACACCCATCAAAGAAGTTAGACAGGAGAGGCAGTCAGGACTTCCGGAGACAGGGTTCCCGCCCAGGAAGCCCCTGGGAATGGAGGCAGCCCTTTCGATCAGGGCAATCCTGGGACTGGCCCAGAGGCTCACGATCCTTCTACCCCAGACAGGATCGAACCCAGGATCGCCAGAGCCCGGGAGCCAGGGGCCAGTTCCAGTCCAGACGCCCATATAGGGGAGCGGGAGGCAGATCCTTTAAACGCACCAAGTGACGCCAAACAGGATACTCCCATTGGGGGTCGGTTAGGAAATTTCATCAGGGTCTGGGAGCAGACCACGACCGACTCCTGGGTCCTGGAAACGATCAGACATGGCCTGACCTTAGACTTCTGCTCTCCCCCACCAAACCGGTTCATCAGATGTCCCATCTCCAGAAGAGCACACAAGACGAGGCTGATAACTTCGGCTATAGTCCACCTCCTGTCAATTCAGGCCATAGAGAAGGTACCAAAGGAGGAGGAGGGAAGAGGATTTTACTCTATCCTCTTCGTCATCCCAAAGACATCAGGAGGGTGGAGAGCAATCTTGGACCTGAAGGGCCTGAACTATTTCATAAAGTACAGGAGGTTCAAGATGCACTCCTTAAAGTCCATACTAGCCAGCGTCAGGGAAGACGATCTACTATCCTCAATAGATCTCACAGAGGCGTACCTACACATCCCCATCCACCCCAGCTACCGGAAATTCCTCAGATTTACCTACGCGGGGCGACATTACCAATACAGGGCATTACCCTTCGGACTGTCGTCAGCACCAAGGGTATTCACAAAGATCTTAGCTGTACTAGCGGCCCATCTCAGGTTGATTCCGGTTCGCGTCCAGTTTTATCTGGACGACATCTTGATTCAGTCCAGATCTCGGGAACAAGCAAGGACAGATCTCAAGACCACAATCCGAACCCTACAGGGGCACGGATTTTCGGTCAATCTAAACAAGAGCCACCTCATTCCCTCAAGGAGACTGCAACACCTGGGCGCGGTGATAGACACGTCACAGTGCAGGGTATTCCTTTCCCAGGAGCGACTGATCAGCATATCCAAGCTAATCCACCAAATTCAAAAGATCAGGAGAGTGCCCTTGCTACAACTCTCGAAGCTCCTGGGAAAGATGATATCTTGCATGGGCATCATCCCATGGGCAAGGCTCCACTCGAGGGAGTTGCAGTGGTTCCTCCTACCCTACCAGAGGAGGAACCTCAGCACCTCAAACAGGAGTGTGCTGGTACCAGCACAGGTGATGAAATCACTAAAATGGTGGCTATCCCCCATGACACTCAAGGGGAGCATATTCA